TTTACGTGAAGTGGGTTCATACTATCATTCAGGGAATGTGTTTAATAATTATGTCAGTTGTTGTGACATCCCTGATGTTAATTTCTATTCCTGTCATTCCCTTTGCTACTAACCGTTTGTTAGTAACCAGACTCTACTCATGTCACTCTGTCTTCGTCTCTGTATCCCTACTCGTCGGTTCTCGTCATTCTTTGTTTATTGTTCTTTGTCCATTGTCTTTTGCTCTTTGTTGCCGCTCGCTTATAAACCGACCAGCACATTTTGGCGTCATTCGCTGACTGCTCGTCTTATCACCTCGAAAGTACGTCCACTTTCAATTTATTTCCCGCTTTATTAACTCTATTGTGCTCCGCTAATCTTACTGTTTATTGCTATAGAACCACAAAGAATAACCGAGTTATCCAGACTGTCTTCTGACATAGCTTTGACCTCGGGTGCGTCTATTCCGGGTAAATAAACCAACACTGAACCAAAAAAAATCTAAAGAATACTAACAGTTGTGTTGGAGCCAGAAGTGTCTGCTACATTTAGAGACGTTGCGAGGTCCTCCCAACGCTCATTTGGGCGACGGCTAGCTGACGCATAAGCAATAGCCAGATCTGGCCGTCTAAATCCGCATACAGACAAAAAGGCGATCTGCAGATAGCAAATTTCAGGAGACATACGCGGCAACTGGGACGATGATTTACTCACATCGAGGTCTTCAATTGTGCATGAACTCATCGTGGCAGAGAAGACAATTAGGCAAATGATCACAGGGACTGCAGCCAACCAATGACCAAGCCATCATTACGCAGATTACGAACATAAATAATAAAGGCGCGGACATTGTGGTCTCGGACATAATAAGCCAATCAGTTTTCGCGCCTAATTCGAACACCCTGGACAAATGCTTCTCCGTTGCTGATTCAGGTGTGTCTATCGTCAATAAGATACCGAAAGCAATCAACACGCATTCAGTTGGAAAGGAATGGAGAACAGAATATGTCTAATCCGACAGCTTCTGTGTACAGTCGTCTTGAAAACACACTTGATGGATTGGACATGTTTTGAGATGAGTTTGAGTTAATGGCGGTCGGAGAAACGTACTGCTTAGCGTTTGAAAATCCTCCTAGTCATTTTCAACTGCCCTTGTTGAAGAAAAGACCGTTACTCGTGTCGAAGGCACGTCTGTATGGCAATCTGGACACTTCAATAAGACCAATTTGTTTCTTCAATAAGAAATGTAAAGATCTTTTTTCTCACAGCCCGTATGATGATGTCTCTTTGACTGGTGGTGGTGCGTCACGGCTGTTGCTCGAACCAACTTGCCTGGATTTTCTTTGACGAACATCAAGACAAGTGTTTCCTGCAGTTTGCCAGAGATCAAGGGATAACCGACAGCTACCTGGGAACGTAGATTCAATCGATTTTAATGCCAGCAATTTCTATGATCAGAAGGCGGATTTTGAGAAGGGTGGGTGTGGACGCCGCTACACTATTCGGTAGTGAAATCACATGTCGCTTTAGAGATTTGGTGGGATCTAAAATGTAAAAAAAAGTTTATAAGCAGCATGATTTTTCGGCCTATTTCGCCGTCCTTATAGATAAAAATATTCTCCATATAACATGTACATGCTAACAATACCCCTCATTGTAAGCATATGGTAGCAAAACACGTCTTCCCATTTGATACTAGATGAATGTGCGTTGCCTTAGAACGAGAATGTGATCTTAATAGACCATAGTAGTAAATAATGACTTGCTAGCATAAGTGAAGAAGAATAATGGTCGAGCACTGGAGCAGACTGTATATTATTCCGAGCCTTCGAACACGTTTCGGAGTCCATCGTCAGAGAAAGTATTAAGATGCATCTTTGACTGGTGGTGGTGGTAGTGGTGCTGGTACTGGTGCTGGTGCTGGTGCTGGTGATGCTGGTGCTGGTGGTGCTGGTGCTGGGGGTGCTGGTGCTGGTGTTGGTGCACCAGGGCTGTTGCTCAAGCCAACTTGCCTGGATTTTCTCTGACGAACATAAAGACATGTGCTGATAGATGCGAACAGGCGAGTCCCAGGTAGCAGTTCAGAAGATGAAGATGCGATCACTGGGACAAGAAGTTTATTGGCCAGCAGTTTGCCAGAGATCTAGGGATAACTGGCAGTTTCCTGGGAACGTAGATTTAATCGATTTTAATGCCAGCAAGTTCCATGATCAGAAGGCGGTTTTTTTGAGAAATGTGGGTGTGGGCGCCGCTACACAGCCCGACAGCCGAGACCTGACCGAAGCATCTTCAGAGCCCGGTGGATGTAAGCTGAAGGAGATTGTAGAGTCCATGTGGTTGAAAATGCTAGGTTTATGCAAGTCAGCTGAAGAACACATAGACACTTGGCGCAAGATGACGTTATTGATGTGTTTTAAAGCTACCAAATTTCCTGACTGGATAGCGTTAGCATGAAAGCCAGCTATTGGGTTTGTGTTGTGTATTGAAGCAGGAAACTGAGACAGTTGGCTGAGACGATTGGAGTCACTTTTGACGGAGATCTAGGATAGGTCGGACGGAACCGCGTATCCGCGCTGCTCTCACCTCCACTCTTCCTCGCGGTCAGCACACTTCTGTGACCCTTGTCCACAGTTCCCCACAACGCTGGATGCCCACCAACACAAGATCACTGACCAAACTCATGAAATATTGACTGAAATTCCCAAAGGTCTTTCGATCTGGCAGGATTACTCACGGTCAGTTGCCGGTCGCATGAAATCTTTACCGGAATTGCAAAATGAATCATTGATTAGGAAGGATTACGTAAGTGGGACTATGTCACTGATTATGTTGCGACGTAATCCCGTGATATTTCAGACACAAAGATGCCGACTCCTGAATGCAGTTCTTCTCAGCCGCCTACAATGTCCGCGTCCGGCAAAAAATGACTACTTTCTTAGTATGCATTTTCATAAGAGATTTTCAATGGCCTTGAAAATACATATGCTTTTATGGAATACTCCACAAAAAATAACATTTCTGGTACTCAGTTGGTAGCAAATCACATTTTCGCATTTTATAATCGAAGAAAGGGTTATATTCGTTGCAAAAAGTCTTCCAATTCTCGAATAATTTTGAGCTCCATCTGCCGTCGCATTTTCGTTCAGGGTTTTCAGCCTGCAAGCCGCATACGTTCCATGCAAAGGAAAACCCACATTCCTTTCTGCCATTAAAAAAATACCTTTTAGGGCTCATGAAATGCTCCAACGGATGTGGACTCTGTTGCATATATAATATGGATCTCACTTAAACAGACAGATACGATGCCGTTTGAAGAGACACTGTTACCTCTTAAAAGTGTGATAGGCAGTAAGTCATTCAAAACTTAGAGGTGCGCATTCTTGGTGTAGGAAATTTGAGGAAAAAGAAGTAGGAGAAGTGGTTGGTAACAGACTGAGTACAAGAAAGAATATTTTTGCACATGCTTAGTTAGCTTGCGCAGACCCAAATGGACATATATAACAGTAGTCTTTGAAGTATTAGAATAAATCTCCCTGGCACTTCACTATAATATACTTACTATATGGTGGAAGTTTCTTTCGAGTAAAGGGAAGTCTTTTTGCTTCGAGGCTTCTTCTCACGGACCCCTTAGTTGCAACAGTAAAATTAATGCCTTTATTATGATGACAGACAGTAAGGAGCTTCAGAAATCGGTGTGACCGAATTAGCGGGACCGCACAACCTTCTGGAATCAAGCCCCCCAACCACTGGTGTTGGGCGGATCGCATTCATCGGACTCACGGCTGAAGGTGACACTTGAGGGAGAAGTGAGCGGGATTCGGGTGTGCTGGATGACCTTGACTATCGACCAACCGGCTAAGCCAAATCAGACGACGACTGCGCATGTTTGAATGCCAATACATGCGGAGATTTAAAGGTGAAGCGTGTGCTGGCAAAGCTGATGTGCGAGTCAGGTGCACTTGAAACGGAGCAGGGCATTGCCACACAATCAAAGTTTCAGGGCTTGAACTGTGGTAGACTGGTAGGATAATTGTTAATCTTGATGCCACTTACTAGGTTGGTGAGAAAACGGCGGAGATTGGGGGAATGTAGTGATTTCTGCGATCGGAAATCTGCGAAGTAAGAGAGTTGAGTTAACCAAACTTCTCCGGATTATAACACAGTCCGTGCATCCTCCTTTTAGTCTTCGACCCCTGTCTAGAGCTTACACAGTATGTCGTATATAGAGGGACAATCACAGCTAACAGAACCTTGCCGAACGGTGCTGGTATGACAAACACAGAGAAATCTAGGCATAAATGAATGTTCAAGTGAACTCACTCAAAAATTGTCCCTGGGTGAAAGGTCTAAATTCTCATCAGTCAAGTGCAACTTGGTAAGTGGAAGTGGTAGAGTGATTTCTGCGAACGAAAATCTTCGAAGATAGAGAGTTGGGTTAACCGAACCCGTCCTGATAATAAGACAACCTGCACGCCTTCCTTATAGTCTTAAACCCCTGTCTAGAGGTTACACAGTCTATCATGTATAGAAGGACAATTGAGAATCTTGGTCGAGGAAACCCCTTCCGAATTAACAATCGGTATCGCCACAGTCACAACTAGA